TAAATTTTTTCCTGATTTCATTTAAAAAGATTTTGGAAAACTAATATCACATTCCCATTGTCACTTTCTCTTCTTTACAAGATGGCAGTATAAAATTTGAAATCCGACGTTTTTCAAATACGGACCTGCTTTTTTATCGTGTTATTGAAAAATTATAAACAGTATCGGTTTTAGGATGCCCAAAGATGACAAAATCGCAAATAAAAAATCTAGGTTCGTATTTAAAAAACGTAAGTTAAGGATGGCCGCCTGAAGACGAAACGTCGAATTTTAAATTCAGTACCACCATCTTCTAAAGGGGAAGAAGTGACAATGATGAAGAGACATTTATTTTAAAATTGCTTTTCAAATAAGCCCGGGAAAAAAAAAAACGATTTTTCAAAATTTTGGTTTTTTCCGAATATCTCCGGAAGTATTCGGAATCTTTCCAGTTTCAAAACGGTATTCTATTGGTCATAAAATTGCACAACTTTGCCATAATTTAACCGACCCCGTATCTCTTACGGTTACCGAGATCCCAATGATGAGGCTCAAATTTGGGCCACCCTGTATATCTGGAAAACGAAGCATTTCCGGACACATGTTTATCAAGAAAAAAGTTTTATTTTTACGAGATCTACCATCTCTACAAGTTTGTAACAAACCTTTCGTGACACCCTGTATATGTACATATATTTATCCATTAGAAACCTTTTGTATTATTGTATATAAATAATTATGTAAGATTTGGTCAAAATTTTCAGGTTTAAATAGTGAACAAAATTTTAGTGATTCCACCAATCAATAAAAATTACCCATCTTATTAAAAAAAATAAAAATAACCTGATCAAAATCATGGCATTGTCCTTTTTATTACTACTTTATGCAGAAAGGGTTAGTTTGCTTTTCTAGTGATTCTACCAAACAATAAAAATAACCTGGTCAAAATCATGGCAATGTTCTTTTTACTGCTACTTTATGCAGAAAGGGTTAGTTTGGTTTTCTAGTGATTCTACCAAACCATAAAAATAACCTGGTCAAAATCATAGCATTGTCTTTTTTATTGCTACTGAAAAAAGGGTTATAATTTCGGACACCCCAATTCACCTGATGTCTTATTTAATTGCATACATCTATTTTTTAAATAACCTCACAGAAAATAGTATAAAGGGTTTGAATCCATACTGCGTGCAGGCTAACGAGTTATCACCATACCTGTTGCATGACTCGTGAAGCTTCGTACAGACCTGAACATTACGCCTAACAACAAAAAAACAACGAACCGAACGACGAAAGAAACACTTATTTGGACGGGGCTACGAGCAGCCAGTATTCGCAAACGCGTTCGTAGCCCCTCCCAAATTAGTGTTTCGATCGTCGTTTGGATCGTTGTTCTGTTTGTTGTTCGGCGTTAAGCTTCGTACAGGCTTGAACATTACGCCGAACAACAATCAGAATAACGAACCGAACGACAATCGAAACACTAATTTGGACGGGGCTACGAACGATCAGGATTTGCGAACCGGTTTTCAAATGCGTTCGTACGCGTTCAAATTATAGTTTCGATTATTGTCCGGCGTAATGTTCGAGTCTGTCCGAAACCTAATGTTCCAATCTCCAAGACTCCATTACATTACGTTAATTAAATCAATACCTAGGTTGCCATCAATAAAGAAAAGTCCGATAATTTTGCGCCATCCCTATCCACACATTAAAAGATTCTCTACCATGAGGGCGCACTTGTTGATTTTGTCTTCGATTTTGAAGTGACCAAAAATGCTCGTTATGTCGATTGAACATTGAACAGTTTATTTGTTAAAAAACTGCACTTGTAACTACAGATTATTTATTATTTAGCTTAAGAGGCCAACAAAAGAAACAAAAAATCAAGAAAAGTCAGGGCGCCTAAAACACACGTGACCAAGTTAGTCCGACTATTTCGCTAGAAGGTCGTCTTTTTGAATACCTTCCTTAAATACTTACTAGTCTCTATCCCATTAGATTTCAAATTGTTGATTTGTTTTCTCTTGTTTGTTATTTGTTGGGATTTTTCTCATTTGATACAAGAAATTAAATTTTATCACGAATTTTAACTAAAATTTGCATGCGGATTAAAACTCGGAGTCATATTCAATATAATTTTGCCTGAGGATGAATATTTTCGGTCGAAACGTCGGAATTCCGAAACGTTTTATATATGACGTATTTCAGAATGTCAAAACAAAACAAATTATGTAAAAAAAAATCCAGGTCCGTATTAGAATATTACAAAAAAATAGGTTGATGATGGCATTGGAAAACCGAAACGTCAAATTTCGAAAATATTATCGCATTAAAGTCCAGACAAAAGTGCTTCAAGAAAGCTATCTGGATTTTTCTCCATCTCTTAAAATAAAGCCCGGAAAAAATAAGAACCAGAATCGCAATTTTCGGAATTTTCCGGAAGTATTGGGAATTTCTCAAATTTTAAAACGGCATTTTGTTAAGCATCAAAATGTGCAACTTTTGCCTAATTTAACCACCCTCGTATCTTTAACGGTTATCGATATCCCCATGTTGGCCCTCGAATTTGGGATACCCTGCACACCATCCAAACACTTTGAATTATTAAACTATTCAATATTCAAGGAAAACTAAGACTTTACGAAAGCCGCCAGACAACCAGTGTTGCAACATACACATACACGTACATCATCATATTCCGGCGTCCTGCATTGTTGGACCTGATGATAGATTATTCCATTCCTTGTTTGACTATTTGGGCTACTCCATACGTCCACTTTCCCTGTTTTGGCTTTTCGGAAAAACGTCGTATTCGACTGTGAAGATTTTGAATAGTTCACAAGCATCCGTCTCAGGGGTTCCAGTCGCCTAGTACGAATTTTTCGACTTATAATTGAGTCAGCCAGTCTAACCTTTGCACTAAAATGTCTTTCAATAATCACCTATCTTGCATTTTCCTCATCTTCTGATGAGCTCATCCTCATCCGTCAGCATATGGAGGATATCCATATTATCTGTAAATTATATGTTTTATTCAAGGATTTCTGTTTGACAGAGCTTTATAAGAGAAACTGAAATATTTTATGACTTATGATGGCCAGTTCACCTACGGAACCTTTTATTTTATGGTTTTTCTAAAAGACCGCAGTAGGCGTCTCTGACCTTCCATTTGATTGCTAGTTATCCAGCTTCATCAAGTGATCCCCGGTTCTCAATATTAAAATATTGTAAGCCGCAATTCGTAGTTCTGTTTTTGTTTTTTTTTTTTTTTTTTGTAAAATTTTCTTCTTCCCATAATTAATGAGGCGGAAAATGCCACGTTTTTTCTATCTTTTGGGATGGCTAGGGGTGAATTAATAACTCATATTCCAATAAAACCTGATATTTTTTTGGTGACTGCTCAAGAGCTTTCAGTGTTAAGGAAAATATCAGGAAGTACTAGAACATTGGGCAAATATCGGGAAGTTGCGTGCAGCAATGTATGATTTTCCTCATTTTTGAAATAATTGCTATTTCTTAATTCACTCCATCATAGTTTTAGCAATTATTTTCAAAATAACTAAATGAGATAGGGTATTTCGATCCTTAACCTTTACCAAAAATAACGATATTATATAAGCATCAGGGTTTGGCGGGGTCGCTTTATATATTTCTGAAACTATAAGTCCAAATGAGCTGAAATGAAAGGGATTGTAGTCCTCTGCTGGGATAAGGATCGCTGAAAATTTCTGCTCTTTATCTATAATAGAAAAAAGTTATGACCTTTCAAAGTTTTCCAATATCTAAATCCTAGGTACTAAAACGATGAAATTTCATTTTTTTTTTGTTGAGTTTTGTGTCTTAATGGTCATATACACACATATACAGGGTCTTCATTTTAAAACTTACCACCCCTCTATTATCTCGGAGGAGAAAAAGTTTTGAAAAAATTCCTGAAACGCGTCAACTATAATTTTTTATGTAAAATTCACCTCCCCCCCTCTTTCAACCCCCCAGCTCTCAGAGCCACTCCCTAGACAATCTTAAATGGGAAGGGCGGTCAAGTGATACATCATTTTCGATGGTTTTCAATTCCATACATTTTGGTACTAAATTTCAGTCCCTAAGTTCAACTGTTTTGGAAATATTGACAGTTGAAAATTGACTTTTTTGCAACTTTGACAGGCTGTAAAACCCATACGGTTAATTTTAGAGGAAAACCGATCTTACATTCTTATTTTAGAGTTTTATAAACTATCATTTGACAAGAACTTTGAATTTAATCCATGATCAAAAATTCCGGTTACAAATTTAATCTGCGGTTAAATTCAAAGTTGGTGTCGAAATGATATTTTATGAAAATCTAAGATAAGAATGTAAGATCGGTTTTCCTCGAAAATTAACCGTTTAGGTTTTACAGCCTGTCAAAGTAGCAAAAAAGTCAATTTTCAACTGTCAATATTTCCAAAACTGTTGAACTTAGGGATTAAAATTTAGTTCCAAAATGTATGAAATCAAAAACCCTCCAAAATGATGCATCACTTGACCCCTCTTCCCATTTAAGATTTTTTAGGGGGTGGCTCTGGAGGCTATGGGGTTGAAAGGGGGAGGTGAATTATGCATAAAAACTCATCCCCCCTCAAATTATAGGGTGATAAGTTTTAAAATGAACACCCTGTATATATATATATATATATATATTCAAATTGATTTGAATCAATTTAAAGTTCGTTATAATAATAAATATTATTATAATAATTGAAATGACTATCAAAACACTGTTGATTTCCAAACTTTGAATTTAGTATTTGAATATTCATCTTAACTGTCTGCTATAGGTCGCTAGGTTGCTCGCGAGCTGTATGCCGCGCAGAGGATAGCTTAAAATAATAAGGCAAATCCGTATAACCCCGTTCTCTGGTCAACCTGAAGAATATACTGGACTAGAGGGGATGAGAAAATTATTCAACAATAAACAGAATGCTACTGAGTAGTTTTCGACAACGCAGTTGGATTATTATTATGAGATAAAATCTTACCTATTACTTCTAGAGGATGAACCACTTCTTTTAAACATTCCAGTTATACGATCTTTTAGATCTCTTTTACTTCCCCTCTCTTCGTTTACATCAGAGTTTGAGTTATTTTTGGAATCGCTCTAAAATAAAAAAAATATATAGCCTACATTTTCTATCTGTGGTCTAATTATCTTTCGGGTTTAACGGACGAACCAGATTTTTGGATGACCAACTAGTGATCTGTCTGTTCTTGGACAACTGAACGATTACTACTAGGTTTAGGATTAAATCATGGATGGTGATACAACCAATAAACTACCACTTAGATTTTAAAATGTCTATAAAGTTCATTCGGTATACATATATGTCGCTTTGGAACAGTGGCGCACCCAGGTTTTTTATTTGGGGGGGGTTTTCATAATGATGAAGGTTCGCCGCAGGCAGGCGCTGCCGTAGGCCGGCCGCCATAGGAAGAATTTTTTTCGGGTGTCACGCCCAAAAATGTTTATTTCAAGCCTTCAAAAAATAACTTATTGTACCACATGTAAATGGATCAAGTCCATGCTAAAACACAGGACTATAAACTCGACTATTGCTGAAACCTTTATTATAGTAACCGCGATAAAAGGATGCCCACAGGGCGGAGTACTTTCACCACTCTTGTGGAATCTAGTCGTGAATGAACTTCTGAGGAAAATAAACGATCAAGGCTACATCACTCTAGGCTACGCGGATGACATAGGCGTTGTCATTAGGGGAGGATTTACCAGGACGGTATCAAACCTCATGCAGGACGCCTTAGGAATCATTGAGGAATAGTGCACGAGGGAGCAACTTCGCGTCAACGCCTCCGAATCAAAACTCATTCCTTTCACGAGAAAAAGAAATCTGGAGAACTTATTCGCCTCCAGTCTATTCCAAAAAACCTTGGAGTTTGGCAGGGAAGCTAAATTTCTAGGCATCATCCTAGATATGAAGCTGACATGGAATCAACACATCCAAAAAATAACCACCAAAATCAAGATGACGTTGATGTCGCTGAAAAAAGCGATTGGGAAAACATGGGGACTAAAGCCGTCAGTTGTACAATGGATATACACTACGGTTGTAAGACCAATGATAACATATGGGGCACTTGTATGGTGGCCTAAAATAAACCAAAGACGAGCAAATTTGGAGCTAGCCAAAATCCAGAGACTTGCGTGTCTTTGTATTACCGGTGCACAGAGAAGCACACCAACGGCAAGTATGTCAACCTCTGGGAGAATACACTACTGTATTCCAAGCAGAAATATATGCCATCAACTCCTGTCTGAGAGAAAACCTGAGGAGAAGATACACAGGTAAAAACATCCTTATTTGCTTAGACGGTCAAGCGTCGATCAAAGCACTCAACAGCTTTGAAATAAAATCCAAACTTGTCTGGAAATGCTTGGAAAACCTCAAAAACCTAAGTATGGCCAGCAAGGTAACCCTTAAATGGGTGCCAGGGCATAAAGGAATTGAAAGAAATGAAAAAGCAGATGCTCTAGCAAGAGAAGGATCAGAAACCAGAACACAAAACCTACTGGCAAACTCTTCCGAAGCTCAGACACAGTAAGCTAATGGTATACAACAACCATTACCTAAACTCACTGAAGAAATCCTACAAACTAAACAGGAATCAAATCAGGCTAATAACTGGACACTGTAGCCTGAGAAAACACCTTCACACAATGGGCATCCTCCAAGAAGAACCCATATGCAGACTTTGTGCCGAGGAGGATGAAACCGCCATAACATAATCTTTGAATGTGAGGCTTTACGCTGGTGGAGATACAGACAGATAGGGCCAGAAGACCCTATCTCTAAACTCACCAAAAGTAACGCGGTGAAGAGGCTCCTAAACCTAAACTTTTCACTGACTAAACAGACGAACAGGACAATACAATAAGCTGACGGCTGCAGTGTTGAGACCACTTAACGCCTGTTCATTCTGCATCTCAACATTCTCAACCAACCAACCAACCAACCAAGTAATTGTATAAGTTTTGTGTTTACCTCGCTGTTTACTCACCTAAATCAACTCGCTGTCGTAGGCAAAACCTTTTAGGGGTGACATGTATGTAAAATGGAAAGTTTGTAGGTACCTATCAACCAAAATCGCAAAAAAAAAATTTTTACCGGAAATTTTTTTGTAACAGTTCTAAATTTCGGGGGGGGGGTTTTAACCCTCAAAACCCCCCCCCCCCCCTTGGGTGCGCCACTGCTTTGGAAGCATCTACACAGCCTTCTACAGCAAATCCAAATTAGCACACGAGTTTCACACGTGTGTGACAGCTTGGGGTATAACTTATACCGTATAAACTTTTTTGAGATATTATTTAGAATATCGGGACATAGACATAAGCTTGTCAGACATTTTTATGTATTCTGCGACTATTGCCAAAAACCCCAAGGCGGAATTCATGAACCGTATCACGTTTTCCGGTAAAAAAGTTGCCAGCGTGCAGGAAGAGACGGAGAAACTAAACGAACTTATGAGTGAAATGGCCAAATGCGGGCTGGATACCAGCTGATGTTTTATAGACAGCGCTGTCACAAAATAAAACCAGAACCAGATAGAAAACAAGGCGCTGAGAGGCGAACTGTCTATTTTGGGCGAAACCCCCAAGACGACCTTCAGCACGGAAACTCGGATGTAGTTAAAGAAGCCAACCACCACCTTCTGCCCAGAGATCACTCCGGTGGTCTCTGATGTGGAAATGGAGACAAAGCCCGAGAGGGGGGAGAGGCTGCAATCCCTAGTGAGGACGAGAAAGGTTAGGACGAGACAGACAGTTCGTCTCTGAAATCCGGATACGGATGCAGGAAAATGAAACAAACGCCACAAAGAAGGCCGAGCCTTGACCGTCCAACTGGACTACTGGACTGACAACAAGAAGAACTACCATTAGTCATTAGGCTGGACGCTGGACGTTAGGTTCGAGATTAAAATTCGTTCTGGACAGCCAAGCCGCGGCAGGAGATTTGCGCACACCCAATCTCGATTGCACTCTCCAAAGGCGTTGGAAGCACTGTTCCAATATCTGTAAGTTGCCCAGAGCAAGAAAGAGGGAGAAATCCCAAATGCAGAAATCGCAGTCAGGTTGGACACCCTGTCAGCCACAAACCATGCCCCAGGATCCCAAAGCCTGCTCCTAGCAGGTCAGATGGGACAACAGGAGGAACAACCCCAACGATTATTGGCACTATCTACGCATCGACTGCCCGCCAGAATGCGGCAAATGCCTGGCAGAGACATCATCCAAACGATCATGAAGGATCCATTGAGGATAGATGTGATTTTGAGTATACATAACCTATCGACGTAGAATGCCAGTAACTAATGAAGAAACAGTAATACTGGAAAAAAAAGGATTAGAACACTTGCCAGGAATACCATTGAAGCAGTTGAGACAAAGGCTGTAACTGCTGAAATAAAGGCAGCCAGGGAAAGGCGAGAGAACCTTCATCTTACTTATCTCCCAAAGATCAAATATTGGAAAGGGACAATCAGAGTCTGCTACAGGGAGCAACTTCCACCAGGAGAGCTCAACAGAAAATGTCCAGCTTGGAACTTCAACATTAGGAATCAGACTTTGGCTATAGGTACTCTCCGGAAGTGGCAGCCTAACAGACATGAAACACTGCTGTTGTTGGGAATATCTATCGCAAAAGACTTCTACATAAAAACACTTGAAGTACTTCGGATCACATTTCACTACACTTAACATTGCAAAAAGGAAACGAGAAGAAGGCACTACTGACTAAATAACTAGAACAACTTTAAAAGTGGACTTGAAGACAAGATAGTTATCCCAGTTATTCACGTTGTACAACTGGAACATCCTGTCGTGACATTGCAGGCTGGCGTTCTGGGAAGCTTGCTAAGAATGCTCTGTCATCAACTTAATGAAGAAACGACAAGATAGCGAAATTCCCAGGGATGTGAAAGCTATGCTCAGTGTGAACATTATCATAGGATTTTTCAACAGTGAGCGGATAAATCTGATGAGAGTTCTGCCGCATTAACGTCCAAGCAGAACGGGATCGACAGTTTAGCGTAGGACTCTCAGAGCACTTCGGAACCACGGCCATCAGTTACACCTCTTGGGGCTCTTAGTGCAACCTACCGACTGGGGAGTGTGTTTCTTAGGTCGCCTATGGTATATCCGATACGCCTCTAAGCGGCGTGAATGGGAGAAGACGGAGATACATTTCGTACTCTTCGCTGGGCAGCCACCAAATAATGTCGGACCGACGAATAGAAAATATGTTATTGATATTCGAACCCGACGCCTTTGCCCTACTGTGACCAACACCTTTCGCATTGAGCCAATGTCGCTTATTATGCAGGCCATTGAAGACCTGAAGTTGATCCCGGAAGAGCAAGAGAAATTCGGATTTAGAGCAGGACATTCGACGGTGCCACAGGCGTTGAGAAAAGTCGAATACGTCACCAATGGATTTAACTGGAAGAAGACAACTGGAGCCGTCATCCTATATGCTGAACAAGCTTTCGATATTGCCTGGCATGTTGCATAAGATGGTTTAGGCAGGCGATCGAGCGGAAACTTGCAAACTGGTTCGGAATTACCTGGCAGATAGGACCTTCGGCTTTAAGATTGGTGAACACTTTAAAGAAGGATCAACAAAAGAAATTTGCCATGGATTTCACATATTATTATCACTAGAAAAATTTGGATCTGACAAAATTGATTAAGGAAAGATTACCTACGACCCTGCAGAAAAGGCCCCTTATCCATAGAATATATCACAAGAGGCCAAAGAATCACTGTTACCCAGCATAAGGCCAAGTCAGCATCATCGCTGGATTCAATGGAGACTTTCGACTGACCATTGATTATTCTTTACATTCCAGATGTCTCTAAGATAAAATTCCAAGCTCCAAGAGGCACAATTTGGCTCCTCCAAACGACAACCTATATTTCTATGCGAAAATATAGGCAAATGAGACGCAATACACCTACCGGCGACGGTGTATGAGCAGAAACAAGGCAGATATACTTTTTTGATAGAGGATTTCACTACTATAAGGTCATTTAAGAAGCCCGAATGGTTGAATCACCTATCTGAGAAGTGTTGACTTCCATCAGAATTTAACCCGATTGATAAGCCGTGAAGGTGGCGGGTATGCCCTTTCGGGGATCCACACTAGCTTGTTCCTCCGGAGCACGATGTCTTCAACGGATACCACCATCTCTACCAAAAAAACCTATTTTATTGAATGACACATATGAACCATAAAATAAGCTATGTTTATATTTTTGAGTTTAAAAAAATCCCCCGAAATGCAAGTTGCAAGAAGGGATAGTTTTGTCGCACCGCAATGATAAATCAAAATGGGACTCTTTTATACAGAGAAGCCTGAAAAGCAAACAGTGAAATTGAGTTATAGATTTAATACTTGTATCACAAATCCAGAGAAATACATCTACTTACTATCTTTGTTTTTTTTTAGTGGAGTTCGTAGTATTTTTCTCAGTTTTTTACGTTCTGTGTGATGTTTGAAATTTTTATATGACACAAACTCTTGATTAATAGTGTACATATACGTGGTTACAGAGAGTTTACATTTTATTTAATTTATTATTCAATTCAGACAATAGTTACCTTCTGTCCAATGCTCCTGGGTGCAAAAAATAAACCAGGATCTTGATCATCAATGCTTCTAGATTTCGTAAGCTTCTTCAATTTGCCCATGATGCCTTTCTTCTTCTTCTTCTCTCCAATGTCGCTTTGCGTAGATCCTCCAGAGAGTCGACTATCCATACTGGAATCTCTCTTCCCTCTCTTATCAACATCGGACTCAATTGACTGAAGACTTGAAAGACTATCGTTATTAGTATTTTGCCATATTTTTTGTTCCGCTTGTATATTGTGTTCTAAGGATAAACTCTTGCGTTGCAGACTACCTTGGCGATCTATTGTTTGCTGCCTTACGATTGCTTTGCCATATCTTAGGCTTCCGACATTTTCTGCTTCGGTAGATGTTGCTCTGCGCATTCCCATTCTCCTCAGACGTTCTCTTTCATCCTCATTTTCATGGATTTTTTGTATTTTCCTCAAATCTTCTGTAGTATGAACTAATCGTTGCATAATTCTCTGAATTTGCTGCTGCTTATCCTCTGGGCTTAGAGAACTTTCTCGCGAGCCAATTGCTGGAGATGATTCTCTAGATTTTGATTTGGTTCGTCTAGGAGGAGTTGGGGTATAGGGAGCTTCTTGTTCTTTAGAGAAAAATAATTCTGGTGCTAGTTGCTTAAGGTTATCCACTTGCTCGATTATTCCTTCGACTTTCCTATCGTCATCATGGTCAGTCCTTCGACGATCCATTTTTATGACTCTAAACTCTTCTCGCTCTTTTTCAAAACGTTCTTTTTCTCTTCTAAGCTTTTCATTAGTAGTTCTAAGCTTTGCATGAGCGTCTCTCAGTTCTAGAAGATCACACTGAAGCTCAGTAATTTTGCGCTTGTTTTCTTCTTGTTCGTCTTCTGCGGACTTCTTGAATTGATCTTGCTTTCTCTTGCCTTCTAAACGTTCTTTATCTCGTTCTCGTTCTACTTCGAACAATGTTTGCCTCAAGTCTCTAGCAAGCGTAGCAGTTTCTTGAAGCAATCTCTGTTGCTCTTCTCGCTCTTTCTGCCAGGCTAATTCCATTCTGGTTCTCAATCCCATAATCTTCGTTCTTCCACTATTAAGCACTTTTTCTTCTTCTAATTCATTTACTTTAGAATGTAGCTCAGAAAGGCGGATCTCCCAAGATGATTTTTCAGATATAAGTTCGGTTTTTAGTCTTGAACTTTCCAAACGGGCTTCCGACAGTTCGTCTTCCATGCAACTTATTTGTTGTTCGAGAGTGGCTACTTTACTCTTGGATTCTTCAAGCTAAAAAAAAAAATTAAAAAAACCGTCAAACCCGCCAAAAAAAAAATACTAGTTCAAGTCCCTAGATTTTCATGTGTTTACTAGGATATGAGCATCAGTTTAAATAAAGCCCGATTCTAACTTGTCAATGTTCAGAAAACAAATGTGTTACCTTTTCCAAGAATTGTTAAACACATAAATAATTAAAAACTATGAAGAAATACAAAACCCACAACATCTAATAAATAGGACTTGAAACTTGAATAATTGAGTGATTGTTGAGTGTGACAATAAATGCTCTATTTAACAAGCCTTGAAAAAGGCAATGTATTAATCCCAAGGTCGGTATCTTAAAAAAAAATTACGAGCTCTATAACTTGAGAAAAAACATACGCTTGCCACTTTGATAATAGCTTGATTAACGGCTGTTGGAAATCAATTTCTGTCGAAACTAATCAACTAACTGGTTTGTACCGTGAACCTTGTACTAGCATTTTTCTGGGTGTGATGTGGTGTGCGGTTCTCGCAGTAATAATAAAAACTTTGCTCACCTCATCGTAATGTAGTTTTTCCTTTGGAGTTCTGTCTTTATTTATTTGTGGTGATTGCCTAAGTTCTCCCATAGTTTTTTGCGCTGTTTCCAACATGTGTTTATAGTTGTCACGCTCGCGTTTGAATCTTGAAACTTGATTTTGCAATGATTGTAATTCTTGATTGACAGCATTTAGTTGACCATCGTACCGCATTTTGCATTCTGCTACGTCAGCCTTTCTCGCTTTTTCTGCATTATTCAGTCTGCAAAAAAAAACAAAATAATAAATTGCATTTATTTTTATTTCTTTCTCACTTAATTCTAAGTTGTCTAATTTCATTTTCCATCGCTGATGAATCAGCACTAATATTTCTTTGTGCTTTATTAACTTTCTCATAATCATCTAATTTTCGCTTTAAGTCATCATTTTCCTTTCTAATATATTCCATTTGCCCATGAATGAGATCATACTCTTTTTTAATTTGATCTACTTCAGATTGTTTCTCTTCAAATAATGCTTTTAATCTTTGTTTATCAATATCACCTCCATTGTAGTTTACTTTGGATATGTCTTTGATCTTCTGTTCCATATCTAATCTTTCTTTTATCCATGTATCGTGTTTGGTATTATATGTTTCTCTGAGGGTTCTTAGCTCAGATTCTACCTGGTCTTGTTCATTTTTCAAGTTTTTGAATTGCCTGAAAATTAATAATTAAATGAAAATTTAAAATCGTAAGTACTAACTTTTCCAGAGTCTCCTTTTCCATGACTAATTTTGCTTTAGTTACTACGTGCTCTTCTTCTAATATTTCATATTTTGCAGTCAAATCGTCATATTTTTGCCTTTCTCTGCTAATGGTCTTTTCCAATTCTAAAAAAAAATATTTTAATGTAAATAATCCATAAAGTCTTGAGACATAAAATACTTGGAAAGCTATGTGAAATTAAAGACCCAAAATTTGACAAATGATAAATCGTTTTGCTTATTAATTTAACAAGAAGGTGTAGGTACCCAAACCCAATACTGTTATGGGTACTCTAAGAATTACCAAACAATTATAAATATTAATGAAACAAAAAGTTTTTTTTCTATGATCATAAGAAAATGAAACAACTTTCGTCATATGTTACCTTAGCCGAAAACGTATTTTAACGTAATTTTCGTCCCTAGTGATAGAATATCCCATACGTTAACTTTCATCACTAATGACGAAATTAAATGATTACAATTTCACATGCTTAATACATTCTTTTAAATCCAATTATTAGGCCAGGAAAGAGAGGTTGAACCTTGCAAACTCGACACAAGTTCTATTTTTTTTTCTGGTAGAACAAGGGCTGCTCATTATGGGTCTAACTTTTTAAATTAAAGGCAAAATGAAAGTAAACTTAAATGGATGACATTTAAAATCAATGTCTATGAGAAACTAGTCTTTATACTTCAAATTTCAATTCACAAATTCTATTATTTTCTACCTTTTTTCTTGTCTCCATTATTATATAGGTACCAATTGTTTTTTAATGTTTTATATTCTGTCTAGTTCAATAGTAAAAATTTATAACAATTTTCCGACAAATTGAAAGCTTTTTACCCATTAATTCTTACTTTGCAAGTGAGTTATGATTTAATTTTTTATTTTTTGTGCCCTGTTTAGTCATAGTTTTAATTGTTTGTAGTAATAAGACCTTTATACAGGGTGTCCCCGTTGAACTGGTCAAAAATGCTAGGGTATATAGAGGAACCATAGAGAAGTAGTTTGAGATAGGACACCGATGGTCGGAAGTGCGTCGTTTCCAAAATACAGGGTGTGAAACTTAAACAACCTCCTTTCATATCATCTGAAGGGCTAATGCTAGGCTGTTTAAATTTTCAGGGATTATTGATGTAGGAATGATATTTAAAAATTCGTATAATGCATCCCCATTTTCTACCTGGAACCATCCCAAAAAAATAATAAAAAATAAAATTTGAAAAAAAAAGCAATTTGTTTCATTTTTTTTTTTTTTTTTGGGTGGTTCCAGGTAGAAAATGGGGGTGCAGTATATGCATTCTTAAATATCATTCCTAAATCAATAATCCCTGAAAATTTGAACAGCTTAGCATCAACCCTTCAGATGATATGAAAGGGGGTTGTTTAAATTTCAACAGCCTGTATTTTGGAAATGACGCACTTCCGACCATCGGTGTCCTATCTCAAATTACTTCTCTATGGTTCCTCTATAAACCCTAGCATTTTCGACCAGTTGAACGGGGACACCCTGTATATTGTTGTAGCCCTGAAGAAGGCAAAACAAATTGTTTTGAAATAATTAAGCCTCTCTTTTTTCCCATTTATCAGTGGTGTTTTTGTCGGACGAATTTTTATTTGTAAATGTCTATTTTTTTGTTTGTTATTAACATTAATTGTTCTAACTGTGTTTTAATTGTTGTAAGGTCAGTTTATAGATCATCCACTGTGTTAACGAAAAAAAAATCTTCCACTTAATAGATGGAGATGAAAAGGGAGAATAATTTATTTTAAAACAAAAATATGTCATAAGAACAAGTTTTTCTTTTATCAATTCTAGATTTGAAACGTTCACCGATGATTGATGAAGACTAAACGGTCGAACCGTTTGAAAAATAAATTTTGCCACAAAATGGAAATATAGTTTTTCACGTCACGAATCACTATTCACCAAGACAAAAAATGCTATGGTTCAAGAACTTCATAAACAAGCTTATAAGTATACAGAGTGATTTTTAAGTATGGAACATCTCAATTATCTCGAAAACGACTTGCACGATTTTTATGAATTTTGGTATGAAAGGTTATTGTAATATGGCCGATATTATGGTAGTATTTACATGGTTGTCAGATCTTTTGATTTTCGGGAAATATCAGAAACTTTGTTTTTTCAAATGGATCACTCTGTATATTTTTTTGTTTTTGGAATTCGTGAGAAATACTGAATATTTTTCATGCAATGTTCCCTATACCTAAATGCCATATTTTCGGAATTATAGCCACATTGACATTTTATTCCGCCAAAGTTGAAATAATACATTGTCTTATTTCGCGCATGTCGCGGGCGGGTTTCGTCATGTCTGTGCGCGCCATAAGCATTAGCTTGGACGTTTCAGTAAGCCATTATTGTTGGTGTTTATTGAACATCGAACGAATTGAGATTTAAATGATATTAGGATATGGTGTTGTGCGTAGAAGTCAACGAAAAACGAGTGATATCTTTAATAATTTTTATCCCAACCGAAATCTTTAGATGTTTGTGTCATGTCAGACGACGATCCACACTTGAGTACCTACTAGACAAATATCCAGGGAAATTGATATTTCGTAAAAATCCGTAATGAGAATTTCACGTGATAATAAATTCTATCCATACAAAGTAAGGTTATTTCAAGAGTTGTCAGATGACGATTTTGATGATGAGAAAATGTTACGATCCAAATTTTTTAAATAATTTTATATTTTGCGATAAGGCCACGTTTTTTATTAAAAAATAGTAAATCGGCATAATTGTCGATACTGATCACGTAACAATCCTCGTTGGATGCGTGAATGTTACACCCAATATTGCTCTGATGGTCGTCGTGAGGTTGACGACTGATGTTGTCAGCTCTGGTCTTGAGTCCCATAGATTCGTTTACCTCTCCTGGGCTTTGGTTTAGTCCATCTCTCAGAAGAGGATGGAGTGTTTTGGGCAGTTTGCCCTTCTTGTTGAGGCGAGTGCTCCTGCTCTGCCACTGTTGTGTCTTTAGTAATATTCATAAAGGAATAAAAAATATTAATGATTTTTATAGACGTGAAGAGTTTGCAGACATAATGATGATAATAAAAAGTATTCAAGTTGAACGAGTTTATCCAATCATAGCTATCGATGTATTAATTTAATAATTCATCTACACGGTTACAGCAGATGCTCAAAATGTTGCCCATTCACTTCAACACAACAAGCCATCCGATTTTTAAAACTTTGTAATAGATTTTGCAACACCCCTGTCTGCTCAATTCTTCTTATCTCTGTGCTTATCCTGCCTATCAATTCCTCAATATTGACAGGTTTCGTTTTATACACGATGTTTTTTAAGTGACCCCATAGGAAATAGTCTATGGATTCATGTCGGATGATCGCGGGGGCCATTCGATGAAACCACGCCTTCCAATTCATCTTCCGGGTAACACATTGTTGAGGTGTTGCCTCACCTCATGCGCATAGTGAGATGGAGCTCCATCTTGTTGCAGCTAAATATTATTGTTTGGGATATTGTTATTGTCTGAAAGATTCAAAAAATTGAAAGGCAATTGAAAATATTTGGATTTGGAAATTTTAGAGCCAACTCAGTTATAATACTATTTCGCAGTAAATCAAAATGCGCCGGACCATTTAAGTTTCCTTCAATGAAATATGGTCCAATTATTGTGTCGCGTATTATTCCAGCCCACACATTGAGGTTTTCGGGACATTGGGTGTGGGATTCACGCATCCAATGAGGATTGTTACGTGACCAGTACCTATCTACATTATGCCCATTTACTTGTCCATTAATAAATAATAATAAATAATAATAATAAAGTAGCCTCATCGCAAAACATAACATCATTTAAAAAATTTGGATCGCTTGGATCGTAACATTTTCCCATCATTGCGTCTGCAAACTCTGCTCGTCTATCAAAATCGTCGTCTGACAACTCTTGAACCAATTTTACTTTGTATGGATGGAATTTATTATCACGTAAAATTTTCATAACGGACTTTTGCGAAATATCAAGCTCCTTGGATTTTGTCAAGTACTTAAGTGTGGATCGTCTTCTAACATGACACAAACATCTAAAGATTTGTTCTCAGTTGATGCAGTCTTCCTGCGCCCTGATTTGGGTAAATCTTTTACTGCACCAGTTTAGGTGAACTTTTTCACCAAATTCACCAACTTACTCACAGTAGATCTTGTTATGCGATTTCGGTTGGGATATAAATTATTAAAGATATTACACGTTTCCTGTTGACTTCTACGCATATCACCATATCCTAATATTATTAAAATCTCAATTCTTTCTTTTTCAGATAAACGATTCATAGTGAAATTCAATAAACACCAACAATAATTGGTTCGAATTGAACTGCGCTCGCGCATTTGTTTTGAAACGTGAAAATTATTTTTGTTAAAGTCATAGAAACCTTCACAGACATGACGTGACGCGCCCGCGACGAGCTCGCGAAATGCATGAGACAAGCCAATGTATTATTTCAACTTTGGTGGATTTTAATGTAAATGTAGCTATAATTTCGGAATTATGGCATTTAGGTATATGGAACACATGAAAAATATTCAGTATTTCTCAGGAATTACAAAAACAAAAAAATATACAGGGTGATCCATTTGGAAAAACAAAGTTTCTGATATTTCCCGAAAAACAAAAGATCTGACAACCATATAAATACTACCATAATATCGGCCATATTACAATACCCTTTCATACCAAAATTCATGAAAATCGTGCAAGCCGTTTTTGAGATAACTGAGACGTTCCGGTTCCATACTTAAAACTCACTCTGTATAAATATACTTGTATAAGTATTACTTGAAAATTTTAGTGACTGGTAATATGAATGTTAACAAATTTATTAGGGACTCAGTCACTTTCTTCAGGCAATTGGAGAAAACTCGTGTTTGCTAATTTGGCCCAGCTTTCGGAAATTTTTATTTTCTTTTTCAAGGCCATTGAAACAATTGTTATTTTATACAATTTTAAAAAATATAAAAATTACTTACTCATATGCAAATTGAGAATTGGGTAGAAAAAGCTGAAATTTCAGTAAAAACTATTTAAAAACTTTTTTTTATATAGCCTTGTATAACATTTTTTTGTAAAAATGGACACTTTCCAAAAGCTTTTGGCAGTTGTAAAAATTATGACAATCTATAAATGTACTTAGGTGAATTCTGGTGGAAATTGTGGAAAAGGTGTAGATGAAAATATTTTCAATATTTAGGTTTGACCTTTTTTCAAATTGTAACATGTAGGTGCACTTAACTTCTGTATTTCTTTATGTTTGTTTAAATTATCCAAGACTTTTTTGCATTTTCACCATTTCTAGGAAAAGTCTTTTATAAAATACCTACTTAGATTGTTTTCTGTTTTTAGAATTTTGATATCATTATAATTTGGAAAATGGCCTGTTTTCAAATTATGCGTTCAGCCAGACCATGTTGTTTTATTTAATTTTATATCACTTTTGTGTGATGGTATTCGATCTTTCAAAACTCTTGGCGATGTTTGTCCAACGTAAGTTGAAGCACAATTGTTGGATGGAATAGATTATATAACTGATTATGTAGATTTTTTCCAATATTTAATCTCTATATTTAAGTTTTGTGTAAAGACTGACGACAGATTTATTGAATTTAAAAAACGGGACAAGCAATTTTTAGCACCATATTCAATTTGTAATAACTTTTTTTAAATTATTTTTTTCGAATGAGGTTTTTGGTAGGTATTCGAGAGTATTGTAAATCTCGAGGAAAAAAATTTTTTCTGGAGGAATGCATTTCTCAAGTAATATACAGGGTGAATAATAAACTGATGCAATAGTTCAAAGTTGGATGTCATATTGGCAATATTTTTTTTTCGGATTCCCGTACAGGCGATTAGTAACTTTAGTAAGTTAATATCAATATCTCCAGATGTATTGGCCAGTTTTTTGATAAGTGCCCTTTGGCAGCAGATACACTACTAAACAACAAAGTTGGTAAAATCTTGTGCACAATGTTTAAAAGGTTCTGTAGCTTGAAAACGCGGTTGTATCCATTTCGACCAGCACTGCTGCTTTCCAAAGCTCATTTTTTTAGAAGTTAGAGGCTATACGCAAATGTACAACTTTGCCTCCTTTTAACCCACCTTGTATCCCTTACCGTTTCCGAGATCCCAATGGAAAGCATCGAATTGAATTTGAATTACCCTGTATATGGAAGAAGTAAATTTCGACCCTACAAATTTATTAGTTGAAAATTTCGGGAATGCGGTCTGTGAATGTTAAAACTTGATTGCCCTTAACTGAATATTCCGTCAATTTCTTCTTCAGGAGAACTTAAAATCAGAAATAGGCATATACAGGTTGACAATTTGAAAACGAGCAATCGGGAATATCTCTTAGACAAAAAATACTATCAGGAAGATCTCAAATACGTATCGGGGATTGGAGGGGGAACCAAAACGAGGCACTTTATGAGTCACCCCTTAAGGGGTAGCTACCCCAACCTATTTTTTTTAAATACGATCCTACCTTTTGTTGTACATCGTTGAATAGCTCGTTGTTATCCCTTTACGGTTCTATAGAAAAATCTTAAATCGTACGATTAGTTTTTGAGATATCGGTGTTTAAAAGTAAGCACATTGTGAAAACTAGTAATTTGGAATATCTCATACAGTGGTGACGCGACTAGACGAGACTTATGGTTGGTCTCGTTTCGTCTCGTTTCGTCTCGACATCTCGAGACGAGAATGTGACTTAGTCTTGGTCTCGAGTACCAAAGTCTCGTCTCGTCTGGTCTCGAGTTATACAGGGTGGAGGACCCTTCAAGGACAGTGGTGGAGGACTCTTCAAGGAACTCCAGAAAAATAATTTAAAAAATCTAGTGGCATTCTTAAGAAAGTTATTTGTATTTTAATATTTATTAAAGGTTTCAACACTGCCCGTGTTCGTTATTGTCATCTTTTTCGTCGATTTGTTCCGAAATTTTGACAGGCACGTGACTGGATCAGACAGTTTCAATTTGAAAATCACGTGCCTGTCATAACTTCGGAGCAAATCGACGAAAAAGATGACAAAAACGAACAGCTACTGAAAATATCCCGTTGACAATATGTTGAATGAATTAAATTAAATACCTACCTATGTAATTACCGTAGAATTCGAAGGTGAATTTTCTCATTTACCTCTTCATATTACCGCAAGAATAATGCTGGAGAATGATTTTTTAAATTATTTTTCTAGGGTTTGTCAAAGGGTCCCCTACTACGTGGAAAGCTTTTACGCTATTTGTTTGACACCCTGTATTTATGGTTTTTATTTTTATATTATAACGGAAGTTCAAACTGCCACAGTGAAGAAGCAGTTATTTAAATAGTGAAAAATTCAGTAAAGAATAACCTTATTATTTGAAAAAATATAAACCTCAAATTAAAAAAAAACAAAACAGTTTTTGAAAAAATGATCACCCTGTAATTTTTTTTTGAATTAATGGGATGCTTTCTACATACTTTATCTTCAGATTTATCTTCCACTTTAGCCGAAAGTGCTTATGCTTTGAACATTTTTTTAAATTGATCTCACTACTGGCTAAACCGAAAGTGGAATCTGAAAATTAAGTAGGTATGTAGAAATCATCCCATTGATTGTTAGTATTAAAATTTACTGATTTCATATTCAAATAGCCCAGAATAGTCCAATAATAAAGCTATGAAAGAAATATTTTAATTGTAATCTCGAGACTCGAGACTACGCGAGACTCTCGCCGAGTCTGGTCTCGTCTCGTCGAAACTTCACGAGACGAGACCAAAAGCCAGTCTCGTCTCGAAAAGTCGAGACGAGACGAGACCAGTCTCGAGTCTCGCGCCATCACTAATCTCATAGACAAAAAAATTCTGTCATAAAAGCCTCGAATAACACATCGGCGAAACTAAATAATGCGATTATCCTGATCTGCTTCTGCACGTCTGTAAAGACGAATAAAAAACCTTTCAAAGGAGCTATAACACGGGGTATGTTCTCATTTTAGAAAAATTATTAGGAGCGGATTGCCCCTAAAACAAGAGGGGTGGGGGGTTAGGCAATAAACAAATTTGGTTCCCCGATGTGTATTTGAGACTTTTATGACAGAATGCTTTTTTCTAATAGATAGTCAAAATATGCTCACTTTTAAATATTGATATCTCAAAAACTAATCGTCCGATTTAAGATTTTGCTATATGACTGTAAAGTGTAAAGGGATAGCAACGAGCTATCGAACGATGTGCTTGTCTAAGATTGTTCCCGATTGTTCGTTTTCAAATTGTCACCCTATAATAATAGGTATCTAATGATAAAATTACTTTCAATGCTTAGAGTTATACAAAGTTGTTCAGAATACATTAAACAAGATGGAATGTTTTGTAAGTAATTTTTCTAGACGGTAGAATACGTTTGGTAAAAAACTTTTGACAAGAAACAGAAAATAATATGATATTCAATATAAGGTACAATTTGATTTGATTAAAAAAAAGGTGATTCCAAAGAAGGTATCACGATATATTTAATTGATAGGAAATATTATAGTAGATGCTGCTCAAGTTACTAGTATCTAATTTAGAGTTGATTGAATTTGTATTTCTAATTATGTGACACATTTCCAAAACTAAACGGTTTTTATAATTTGATTCTTTCTGCAACATTTTAGAATCATCAAAATTAATCTGAATCTAGTCTTCAAGTTGTACAATCGCAACTGTAGAACATCATCAACTCAACAACATTGTATTACTTTGAGCATTGCAAGTCATTTTATTATTATTATTATATGCCTATTTCCTGTTCTAAGTAGGTACCTACTCCTGACTACAATTTTTTTTTCAAAAATTATGCCGAAGTTTCGATCTGCCTTCTTCAAAGAAAAAAGAATTCTTGAAATTTGTTTTGTGTCTTTAACCTGTTAACACCGCTTTAAAGTAGGTAAGTCTAAAATAACTCACTTTCAACAGATTCTTGGAAATGTTTCAACTCTAATTCTCGTACGATTCCACCACTAGAACCCATTTCGAGCTTCTTGATTTTGGTTTTTAAAGTCGTCAATTCCAATTCGCGATTTTTCTGTTCCTTCTCTGCATTGGCTTTCAAAACATCATTTTTTTTCTTTTCATTTTGTAAATCAATTTCTAATTCTTTAATTTTCTTTTCTTGATCAAGTTTAGTATTTTTCTTTTCTAATTCTGCCTTTTTAATTTTGTCCTCCAAATTCTTTTGGTTTTTGTTTGAGAGTTCCAATTTAGATTCTAGCTCGGAAAGTATCACCGCCTTTTTGCTTAGATCATCTTTCAGTTTGCTTATTTCTCTTCCTTCTAGTTCTCCAATTTTTAGATTGGTTGTTGAAATAACTTCTCTTTCACGCGCCAAACTTTCTTCGAGTTGCTTAACGTGTTTGTCTTTTTGGTCTAAGGTGTTCTCAAAACCTTTAATTCTTGTGTTTAAATTCTCTATTTGATAAATTAATTTTTTCTTCTCGTCTTCTAATTTGTTTTGAACTTCCTCTAGTAACTTTATCTTATGCTTTTCTTTCTCGAGCTGAAACAAAATTTCATAAAATTTAGTTATTATATTAATGTCGATGCAGTATTTCGAGTTGATGATATCATTTTCTATACCTATTCTTAAGTCACGAATCTTCCGTGCAATTATGATTTTTTTTAGAAGTCTTAAGAAAGGTTCTAGTTTTATACTCACTTTACTATCAAACTCTTTGCTCTGTTCTCTCAGTTTCTGATCTGATTCACTATATTTGTCTTCAAATTTAATTAACCTACTTTCCAAATCTGATATTTTTCTATCCTTAAAAGTATTCTAAAAAAAAACACATATTGGAATTTTAGGTCATGCAACTACAAAACAAAAATATAAACCTCAGTTGTCAATCTGGTAAGTTCTTCAGAATTTTTCCTTAATTTCTTTAATTCCACATCTTTTTCTTCGATAGAAGAGGTCAGTAAAGTAACTTTTTTGTTTAATGCTTGCAATTCATCTTTTGTGGATTCTAAGTCGTCTGAAAATAACATATAATAACATAATATAACCAATCAAAATGAACTTACGTATCTGATTTTGTAGATTCAAAACTTTATCATCTACCACTTTTTTTTCATCCAATATTTTTTTTCGATCTTTATTAATTTTATCTACTTGTTCTTTCAATTTTTTTTTCTCATTGGATGCTTTCTCCAAAGATTCACGAATCTTATTCATTTCGGAACAGAGTTCGTCATTCTTTTGGGACATTCTGGTGCGCCTATCGTTTTCTTCGTCAAGTTCTTTCTTTGTTAATTCAAATTTACTATTAACTTCTTCAAGTTCTTTCAAGGCATTCTCCAATTCTGCACTAAATTTAGATTTTTTTAATTCTTCTTCCAATTGTTTTTTTTCATTTTCACTTGTCTTCATATAATATACTATTTCGCTAATTTCTTTTTCTAAATCACTAACCATTGTCTTCAGTGCGTCTCGTGACGTTAATGCTGATACTTTTTTGGGCACCCTGTTATAAAATTTCATAAAATCAAATTTATTTTTGTTTGTTGAATTTGGAACAAGAGAACTTTCTAATTCTTTAATTCTATTTTTAGCATCTTTCAGTTCAACTTCCAAAGTTGCTAGGTGATCCATATCTTTGTCAATATTTTTATTTGCTTTAGTATCCCTAAGTAAACTTAACTTTTTGTTTTCAGCAGTTAATTTTTCGTTTTCATTTTCTAACGTTTGAACTTTTGTTCGCAATACGGACGCTTCTTGTTCGATTACTTGCAGCTGCTTTTTGAGATCTATTGCTCGTTGATCAAGATCTGATGACCTAAAAAAAAAAAATTAAAACCTAAAATAATCGCTAAATGTCTTCAAAAAACACATACTTTGATTTTTGAACACTTTTGGGCCGCTTTTGATTTAATGCCAATTCAGCATGAAGCCTTTCACAATCTCTATCCTTTTCAATTATTTTTTTGCGTAGTTCATTATTCTCATCTTCTAAAACCTACAAAAAATTAGTATTTTGAAACAATTGCTGATCATCATAAGTCTAAAAATATTGTTGATTGAACATTTCAGATCGATTGTTCAAAACCTGAAACAATAAATGCATCAACAAATTCCGGAATACCTACTAGAGCACCTGATTTTTGTGTCTCATATTGTAGAGTTTTATGTAATCATAAGGTCAGTCTTAATATAATTTTTTCGAAAGCTAGAAAATGGGACAGTCTTGTGGGAACTCAATCAATTTATTCATAAGATTTCTTTTGATGAAAATCGATTTTTCGAAACTTGCATTCCAGAAAGTAGGTGTGTATCCGTTCTATCGTTCTATTCATTATTCATTATATCATAGCCTCAATTAAATTAGGGAGCGGCAATTTGAAACCACTTTCAATTCAAGATATTTTAAATAGAGGCAGCCGTTGTAGACTTGTTAGGTAGCTACGATTAATTTCATGTGTCTGATATCAGATTGATGGTCAACGACGTAGCTATATAGCTTATACATGGGTGGGGTTTAGAGCAGTTGCGGCTTGTGGTCTATGCTGGAAGGGGTTTCAATTTTAGACCAGATGATGTATAGGTAACCTGGCGTAGCATAGCTGAGAATATATAAAATTTTTTTGGGTGCCACGCCCAAAAACGTTTATTTTTCTTAAAAAAAATAATTATTCAGTTCAATGGGGGTTTGAACCACCAAGTCGCATTTTTTGTGTTTTTCTTTTATTATTAATATTAACTTATTGTTCAATCATAGACCTTTTCCAGGTCCACAACGTGCTTGCGCGTTTAATAAGTGGGGTTATGTTGGTTGTTTGTTTTGCGGTCCAAAAAGTATAGCAAGCATTATAAAAAAGTTGTAATTAATACCTTTTTCAATTTAAAACGGATTTCGTTTTAAAAACGTTAAATTATCGGCAGCAGATGTTTCGGGTGCGATTTTACGTGATGAGATTGTGGAGACAACTAGCGTAATAGAACTTGAAAGGTATTTAAGTACCTTGTCATGGGGTAAAAAATTAATCCCTCGGAATATCCGGGTCTTCCAACTTTGCTGTCACTATTGCCTTTCCAAAAACACAATATTTGTGTGCCCCATCGCTTTTACCATTTTTAAACAGGTTTTTTCAATATTTTCCCATGTAAACCCGTGTAACATGGACCGCAAAACAATGATCAGCTGATTGAAATGACACAGTGAAATTGTGCGATGTTGCCGGCTTGTACAAATTAAAGCGCGTTGGGTTTAAAAAAAAAACTTCACAAAATGACCATCCACATATCTTTTTGATAAATAGCTTGAGTCCTCGGCTGAATCAAATATTATGTTAATAATAAAGAAATTGAATCTTAGTATCTTAGTTCTAATGAAATCGAAATTATTCATGATTCCTTACTGTATAGCGTGATGAAGATCGACACTTGGCAACAATGTTTGCGCATGCGCAACAGATTTATTCCAATTTGAAAAGGTCTATTGTTATGGTGAGGTCGCCTATAGATGGTAATTTGCTAACATTGCAAAAATCATTACATGACAGTTCTAATGATAGTCGTCATCTGACAATTCTCCACTGTCTAGCTTCTTAAATTGTTTTATTTGAAATTGATGCAACTTTGCGTAGATGCAAATGACGTCATTTGCGATTGAAAATTGGTGCACGGCTTATTTGAAATACTCTGCGAGCGATATGACTTTGCACCACTCGCAATTTTTGCGCATGGAGGCATACCGATCGCACGTCCAACTTACGCACACGCAAGTTATGTCGTCAATTTGTCAATTTGTTTTAATTTTGATACATCACTCAAATACGTTCGAATATTGTGGTGATCTTTTTAAATATGAATTTCAATAACGTTATTACCAACAATGTGCTGGGCGCTGGCTCGTCTTGAACTAGGGAAGGCTTTTAATGAAAACCTCGCAGTAAAGCCGCGATTTATTGCCTATGTCCTAAGTGACCGGCCCTTCGTAAAAAATTTTTAGCTGAATAAAGCTAATTTTGAAGACTTATGTGATGCTATAGAGGGGTATTTGGTGGCGCCAAGAAGAGCATCTGCCACCGGGCACCGCATTTAATACCGCTGAGGCTTCTTGCTACATTTTTTTAATTGATTGTGGTCAAGGTTGGGGCGTTCTCTGACAAACTGGGCAAGAAGGCCTTTTTTCCTCCGCATCTGCGTTTGCGGAGCTCTTTTTTCTGTCACAGGAACAGGACTTGGTGAGATAGTATTCATTTTTTTGTGGTAAATTGGTGATAAGGAAACACGAAACATATTTTAAAAAATTCTAACCTCAAAACATCAGAAAAATATACGCCAGCATCAGCCAAAATATCATTAAATTCAAAAATCAACTCATTTTTATATGGTAGATTTTTAACATTTTGTAAAAAGAAAACTGGCAACGCAGCGAGCGAGTGCATCTTTTGCGTGCACGCAGGTAGAGATGCACACGTCAATTTCAAATAAAGCTATTCGCTCATAACAAGTTGCGTAAACGGACAAATTGATTGAACTTAGCGTGCACGCAGATATTTGCGATCGATTTGAAATAAAGCCCCCTGGATTTTTCACGCCCGCAACGGTTTTCTCCCTCGAACAAAGCCAATTCATGGTGAAAGCATATTTGCGTACGGTAATGGCACAAAAGTTTATGGGGTGTGGACCTTATCAATTCAATCCGCTCGTAATAAATATTTGGAGCAATTCCTCTATGAAGTTGTGGACCATAAAAATTCTCAAGAAATTCTTCAGATTTGTAGGTTTGTTCCGGGAAACGTGACACGTAAAAGTGACAGTGGTCGTCTATCATCAGCTAGTACCCCAGAAAACATTGAGTGAGTGAGAGAGATGATGGAAAATCAATAAAAGAATCAATTCGCCATCTCTCCCAACAAATCGGACTATTCTTAGGCACATGTTATACCTTCAAAAAAAAAAAACATCTAGACCTTCATGCCTAACGGATGACAGCAGTGCAAGAGTTGAAACCCCCAGATCTTTATCTGCACACTCTTTATTGCCAATGGTTCATGTACAATCTACCAATCTGTACGATAATCCACATCTTCTCCTAGAATATAAGGAGAATATGGAGCGCCGAAAATCCTCATGCGATACTTGAAAAGTATGCGTCTGAGCAGCCATTAGTACAAGAAGAATAATCGGACTCATATTTTCTAATGATAACTAATTTTTCTTTTATACTTTTCGTTCAATAACATAATTGAATCTGTAAGTTTTAAGGAAATATCAATGCACGCGCTATCGCGAAGATATTCTGCAGCCGATTTTGAATAGAGCAACATCTCATTGCACACAAGAGCCAAAGTCTTCTGTCTTCCCAGATCGTGCGATTTAACTCCATGCGACTTTTTCTTGTGGTCACATCTAAAAATTCAATATTTTCCACTCAGGGTAACAAACAAAATCCAAGAGATAGGTAACAATCCTCAAATGCTTTATAATGTGTAATTTGTCTCTCATTATCTCTATTTTGACTGATTTTGAGTTTTAAAACAGGCATGACGAGAGCTACATTAGAAAATCCCTTCAAAAATCCACAGGTTCCACTGAGATAACGCCTGTTGAGAAAATTCTTGTTCGCCCGTAGAATATTATCACAACTTGCAATGTTTTTTTTTTGTGTATTTCGCATCATTTAAGATGACATTCAGTGACAGTTGCCATCAAACCATTTGAAGCTGAACCTATCGATGGACCTACGTTCATGATAGAAAAAGAGAACCCTATCCAACTACTTCAACCATGAAAATTATTGAACACCTGTTATAATCACTTCCAGTTTACTTCAAAGTAAAAAAAAATTGACATATACGGTATTCAGTTATGATTAGCGAGATAATTAGTAAATCGATTCGAGCTGATTAATGGGAACATAACATGAGTACATTTAATTCAAAATTTTCCGGAGGTATAAATAGTCACCAATCGGATCTCCGGGGGGGACGGCTTTAAATGTAACAAATATGAGAACAAATCTAAGAAAACCATTGAAGATCGGAACATGGAATGTAAGAAGCCTATTAGAAGCTGGGAAACTGGCAAACCTCACACGAGAAATGAGCAGATTTAAACTGGATATCCTAGGTGTCGCTGAAACCTGGTGGCCTGGTGTGAGAAGGTGCAATGTGGATAACGGAGTATTCTTCTATTCTGGTAATGACGATCCAAAACATAGAAAAGGTGTAGGAATTGTTATAACGGAAGAACTACTGAAACCTGTCGTGGACTTTGTTCCATACTCGGACCGCACTGCTTTATTGAAACTCAGAGCCAAGACAAGTAATCTTAACATAATACAGGTATACGCACCAACTCCGAACTCGTCGGATCATGATGTGGAGAAATTTTATGATGAAGTCAAGGAATTGCTAAAATTGACTAAAAAACATGACGTCAACATAATTATAGGTGACTTCAATGCCAAAATAGGAAAGGGCGAATTTGAGGAGTTAGTTAAATCGTATGGTCTTGGAGAAAGGAACGAGAGGGGTGATCGACTTTTACAATTCTGCCAGGAGGAAAGCATGAAAGTGACAAGTACATGGTATCAACTTCACCCTCGCCGACTTGCCTCGACTCTACCTGGAAGTCCCCAGAGGACCGTCCACACAATGTAGTGCGAAACCAAATAGATTTCATCCTGATCAACCAAAGATTCAGCTCAACCAAGAGAGCCGTCACATATCCTGAGGCAGATGTGCCTTCTGACCATGTAATATTGGTGACCGTCTTGAAAATCTCTCTGTCAAGTCAAAGAAAGCCAACCACACAGCGACGGGTGGCGTTAGAAAAATTAAGGGACCGAATAATAAAATCTGATTTAATGAGATAAACACACAAATACAAACAATAACATCGAATAATGGAGAAGAGCCAACACAAGCCTGGACAAAGATAATGGATATTGCAACAAACTCAATGCAAAACAGATATAAGGCAAAGAACAAAAAACAAAAATGGATAACG